ATGCGGGGGCGAGAGAAATGGCAGGAAGGAACCAGAAGCAGCAAAGCTCCCGGCGCTGTTGCTGAGTTTCATTCGTGAAGGGGATGGAATGGTGTCACATGGTATCAAGGCACAGGGCATGGTAGGGACATGGCTTGGAAGGGACAGGATTGCGATGGGACGGGAACCATTGGGGAAGCGAAGCGAGAAGGACAGGGGCGGAAGGAAGGGAAAGGAAGAGAGGAGGGAAGGAGCTGGGAGAGGGGGAGATGGGGAGCGGGGGAAAGCGGGGTAGAGGGGGAGAGGGTGTGTGTGCGAACTGACTTGAAGGAGAGGCCGAGGCTGGAGTCCCCTTGCTGGAAGACCCTCTTGAGCGAGTCCTTGAACACTGCATGCCCGTAGCTCTCCGACAACGCCACCAGCCCGCCCGTCCTCTCCACTGCTACCTTCATCTCCGCTATGCCCACCTGCAAGGGGAGAACGGGCGAGGGGGAGCATCAGGGTGGGGGGGAGGGGAGAGCGAGCAAGGGTGAGTGAGAGTCAGCCACAACAGGGGGATGGGGCATAGCACGCAGAGAAACAGAGGGGTTGACTGAGACTGAAAGCACATGACATCCATCACCACCACCCACCTGGTCAAGCGCGGAGGCGAAGAGGTCGAGCACGTGGCCATGTGCCACGAGCTGCTTGGCGAGCCACAGCTTGAAAAGGCTGAATTGTGAGGGTTCTCAGTGACCGTCACAGCACAGCACAGCACACGGCAGCTGTCGTCCACGCCACCCACCCACCTGGTCAAGCGCGGAGGCGAAGAGGTCGAGCACGTGGCCTTGCGAGACGAGCTGCTTGGCCAGCCCCTCGTAGAACTTGACTGCCTTGCTGTAGTGCGGCGCTGCATCCTTGTCCAGATCCTTGTGCGACCGGATGGGCTCCGATAGATCCCGACTCACTATCTGCCTCGCAGGAGCGCATGCGCCGGAAAGAGAGAGGTGGTGGGAGAGGGAAGGTGGGAGAGTGGGAGGGGGAGGGGGGAGGTGAGGTGGGCAGGGGAGGAGGAATTCAGAAGGAGACGAGGGATGGATTAACAGACCAATTGCTGGAAGCGAGGCAAAAAACAGAGCCGCTTGCAGAAGAGCAACGCAAAGAGCAGCACAATATGTCAGGGCAGGGCGAGGAGGGGGAGCAGCAGCACTGACCACGCCGGGCCCTTCAGTGCAGGGCCCGCCCACGAAGCTGAGTATGCGTGCACCCGTGCCTGGCACACACGCCCCCAGCAGCCCCACGGCCACTGTGAGCGCTGTACCCGTGCACCGCGCTGGGCGCTTGTCCGCTGGCACTGGGAACGCATCCCTGCTAAGCTCGTCCAGTACCTGGAGGGGATACAGCAGGACGGGAGGCGCGGTTGGGAGAAGGGGAAGGGGGGCAGATGCAGGTTTTGATCTGGGCCATGAAGCAATGGGGTGAATGCGATGCGGGAATCCGTTGGGACATGGGGAATGCTTGGCAACCAGACTCGTTCAGCAGGAAGCTAGGTGTTGACAGAGCCAACTCACGGTGGAGAGAGTAAACTCGCACTCCTGTGCCGGCAGCAAGAACCGCGCCACGCTCGCCGGCGACACCGCCCCATGATGGCCCGCGCCTCCCGCCACTCCGCCCTTCCCCCCGGGCCCTGCAGCGCCCATGGGCGGCCCTGCAAGCCCCAGCTGGTCCACGACCTGCTGCTGCGAGGCCTCCTTGCCGCCGCGGAACACAAACATCTTGGGGCAGTCGCTGAAGCCCAGCTCGTGCACGTACACCAGCGACCCGTACGTTATCAGCCCCACCAGCGCGTTCTCTGGGAGCAGCCCTATGGCCTGCAGGCGAGTAGGGCCGGGGAGAGAGTTTGGAGAGAATGTTTGAGGCGCGTCAGAAAGGCAGTCGCTGAAGCCCAGCTCGTGCACGTACACCAGTGATCCGTACGTTATCAGCCCTACAAGGGCGTTCTCTGGGAGCGGCCCTATGGCCTGCGGGGCAGGGCGGGGGCAGGGGCGGGCGCGGGGAGAAGGGGTGGAGAAAAAGGGGTGGGCTGGGTTGCGGGGGCGGGGGCAGGGGCCGGCGCGGGGTGGGGAGAGAGGAAGGGGGTTATAAAGGTTGAGTGAAGGCATATGGTTGTTGCGGGGTGACCGTGGCTGCTGGCGATAAGTTGGTAGGATACGGGAGGGAAGGGCGGGCGAACAACAGGCGGGGAAGGGGAGAAGAGATGGGGGAATCGCAACCCGTTCCCCTCCAGCTTACCGACTCTCCCATGATTTCCTCAAACCCCCCATTTCTAATCATTTCCCCCTTCCGCCTCCCTCCCCATTCCCGCGTTCGCCCTTGGCCCTCCCACCGACTCCTCAACCCGTCCCCCCTCACCCCACCAATTCCCCGGTCACCTGCGAGACGGCGGTTTTAAGAGATCCCAGCTTCTCCTTGCTGAGACACGTGTTCAAAGCCCGTCCCTGTCCACCCCACCAAATTCCCTCCCCCCACCCTTCCCCTCCCGCTCCTCACCTGCGAGACGGCGGTTTTAAGGTACCCCAGCTCCTCCTCGATGAGACACGTGTCGAGCACGAAGAGGAACACGGGCGGCGACGCGGGCGCGGAGAGCGGCAGCGAGTACTCGATGGTGGTGTACTGCGGGAACAGCTCCGCGGGCAGGTTCGACTCCGATATCGCCGCGTAGTGCGGCGGAAATTGGTTGCGCTGCGCGGGCGGGGTTCGGAGGTTGGGTGCGGGGAGGGAGAGGGGGAGCGGGTGAGGGGAGGGAAAGGGGGGGGAAGAGAAGCGATGGGGTTTGAGACGGGAATGTAGGGCAGCGAGGAGGGCGGGTCGAGGGGGGACCGAGAGCAGAGGTGTTGGAGGGAGTAAGTGCTAATCAACCCGGGTCGGTGTGTGAGAACTCGCCATGATACGACTTGAAGCCACATGGTTAAAATGCTCGACAGACTCGCGCGGAAAGGAGCTCGTTGGGACAAGATTACAAGGAGGCGACTTCAAGAGGAGAAATTAACTTGAACGAACAAGACGGCTGAGATGCTTGATCGCACGGCGGACACTGCGCGGGGTCGACGCCGATACTCGATCGCGAGGCGCAAAAGCGGCGCCTTTCCCCCGCTGCCATCACCGATTGGCTGCTACTGACCTGGTAGCAGAAGGGGCAGACCCATATCTTGCCAATGAAATCCACTCGCGCGAACGGGTTCAGCACGGCCAGGCACGTCTTGCAGCGGATGGGCTCGTACGGCAGCACCGGCATGTCCGGCAGGCGCTTCACGGGCGTGTAGAGCGCCGCGAACGGCACCACGCACTTGGTGGCTTCCACCTTGCTGTTGGGCCACACGTTCCACGTCAGCCGCACGCCGTCCACCGCCTCGAGATCCGCGAAATCAGGCGCCGCCATGACGGGGTGATGTGGTCGTTGCTGCTGCTAGGGCTGCTGCGCGTGCTGTGACGGTTTTAACGCGGTTCTGTTATGGATCGAGGGAATTAACGAGTGTTTGGGTGGTCGAACGGGACGATTAGCTAGTAGAGTGGCCGGTGACACGCCAGCGACCAATCGTTTCGCGAAATGTTGAAATTCGTGCAAAAGACCTATGATATTAAAATTAACGCGCTGTGCACTGTAGAAGATCAGGAAGGACGACGCACGCAGGCGTGTCTCGAAATCCTTGTCAATCTCTACACCGATCAGCGCTGATCGCGCTGCCCTTGAATCAGACCTAGCGAGTCAGATCCGATCGAGCTGGCGACAAGAAGACTTTACGACAACAAGCATAAATCGCCTTAATCGACGAAACGATCTCGGAAAGCCAAAGATGCGTCTGCGCAATGAACTTGAGAAATCGCGTGTCACGAAAAGGCAAGGGAAAAACTGGAATGGCTACTAGCTCTTATAATCGACAACCCATTCAACCAGAAGGACACGTGCAGCAGGAGAGCTTTTGCAGTCAAAATCGAGGTTCAACCGTCAGGTTAGGGGGTAGCAGCAAGGTGGAGCGAACCGAGATGGGGAAGTGAAAGCCCAAGGGACATTGGGAGAAGCTGTAGAATCGTGAATCGTGATCCAACAAGGGGGGAGTGGACGGTTGGATGCGGTGAAGCTCTGATTGTCGCGATGTGAAAAATGGTTTCACGGACATGCGCGCGGGAAGGACACTGACAGGTGGAGGAATCCACACCGGTGGAAGGTTCGGTCATTCTTCCGCGTTTGTAGCCTCTTCCGATCATATTTATAAAACTTTTTTTTAAAAGCTGTCTGGACAATCCTGACCTATGTAGTCTGTTTTTTTTTTTTTTTTTTAGTGCGACTGAAAGCGACGCAACCAGGATCTTGTGGGCGAAAACTTCTTGGAGTTGCAGCTGCCCTCCAATCAGCAGCACGTAAAAAAGCATCAGAGATTCCGAGGGTATAGCGCTGTACGATTTACGAGGTTCAGTACGGTGACAGACGCGGGAAATTGGCTTTCTTGCAACACCCTTTCTAACCTTTTTGCAACCATTCGAACCGTGCGTTACGCACAGCTCATCCATCCACCTGCCAGGTGATACCAAATCTGCAGAGGCGTTGGAACTTGCTGGTTCTTTGGGAGTCGCCAGGGGAATGTGTAGTCGCCAGTCTCCTGGCTGTCACTTTACTTTCGGGACGAAGCGCTTTTCCGCCTCTTCGTATCCGCCGTTCGCGAGTCCTCGTGACATTGCAGTTTTCTTTCTCATTGTTAGGGCTATTCATGCCTCTGTCCGTCGCTATTATCGTCTTGAATTTATTTTTCGCTGTCAGTGACTTACAAAAGTGGCCCTACCCCAGCCTACGTGCTTCTGGCTTAGTTAGACGGCCACAAGTTTAAATAGGCTGTCAGAGAGCTTTTAATCGGTGCATTTTGAGGCGCATGGATCGAGTCAAGCACGTGTCACGTGTCGATCATGCGTTTCTCTGAACCACAGCACAGCCTGATCGTTGCGGCGACCTGTTCTCGCCGTGTAAAACTGACCGAAACCGGCGTTCCATGGAGGGACTGAACGTCAAACACGGCGACGAGAACGACGGGACGTTCAGATGCCGAGATACGCAAGGGAACGACCCGGAAGTGGCGAATCTCAAGAGTCGGAGAAGGGGGTCCGCGGTTGGGGTGGAAGCGTCGAGAAGATGCCGCGGCCCGCCACAGCCGCTGCTTTCCCCTCATGCGCCCTTCCCGCTGCCCCTTCCCCTTCCGCCCGGATCCAATCGCGACGCCGTCGAGCGATGGCTTCGCGACGCCGTGGCGTCATGCTTACGTCAGCTGTGCCGGATGACGCCCGACGCGCTCGTCCCCGCGGTGCCGTTTCTCGAGACGCTCTGCGTGCGATGGCTGCTGCACGACGCGTGGCAGCTCGCCATTGGACAGCAGCGGCTCCAGCTCGGCGGTCGCGACGAATCGGCGGAGAATGCGAGCAGCGCACACGCGGGCAGGTAGGACAGTGCGATCCAGTGTGGATGGATGGTGTGGATAGGCGTGAAGGGAAAGGAATGGTGTGTAACAGGATTTGGTGTGGATGGGATATAGGATAGGAAGAATAGTACGGTGTGAGACAAATGGGTCAGGTTGGTGGCTTGAAATTCTTGCCCTCGCATCTCCCTCTCTCTTGCTCTCGGGCTATCATGCTTCCTCTATCCGTCGCTCGTCCCCCACACACTCTCTCCGCTCCTCTCGTTCCGCGCGCAGCTATTTATGCGAGGCGGAGCCCGTCCGCGCAGTCATTGCGCGCATCAAGGAGCACATCGCAGCCGCCCAGCGCCGACAGCAGCAGCAGCAGCAGCAGCAGGTGGAGGATGGGTACTGGGTCGATGGTAAACAAGAGGAGCGCGAGGAGCAGAATGGTCTGTCGGACGCGCGTTTCTTCCTCGTGGGTTCCGGTGGCGAGGCGGGGAGCAGCGAGTGGCAACGGGTGGTAGCAGCAGCAGTGGCTGGTGAGGTGGGCGCTGCCGTAATGGAGGTGGACGTGCAACTGCTCTACTCGCTCTCCCATTTGCTGCTCCACGCTCCAGCTGACGCTGCATCCGCCAGCAGTAGTAGTGCCATTGCACAAAATGGGTTGCCAACAGCAGCAATGGCAGCAACAGCAGCAACGATAGGTGTAACAGCAGCAGCAGGTGTTGCAGGCAGCGAGGGCATGGGCACAGCGGGGACCAGCCCCACCACCTCGTTCGACTCCCTCCCCTCCTCCGCCTTCTCCTCCCCTTTCTTCTCCGCCTGCCCCTCGTCCCCCTCCACAGCCCTGTTCGCCGCCTCACCTCCCCCGCTCCGCCTGTCCTCCCCCGGCGAGGCACAAGGGCTCGGTTTAGCAGTGGGGGGAGCCTGGCGTAGGGACGGCGCCAGGGGCAGCAGCAGGAGTGGCAGCAGCAGCAGCAGTGACAGTGGCAGGAGTGGCAGTGGCAGCAGTGGTGGCAAGGGCAGGGGCAGGGGGAGCGGAAGCAGCAGTGCTCGGGAGGTGGTGGCATGGGCGGTGCCTGAGCTGCTGTGTATCCCGTGGGTGCATGCCGTGTTGCGAGCCATGGACCGAGCCAGGGCGGGCAGAAACCTGCTGCTCGCTCGCTTGCTGCTCGCCATGTGCCGCCAGGTCTGCACCCAACTGTCTCCGCTTTTCTTAAGTTATGGCCAACATATGCGTCTGCTCAAGGGTTTCACTCTGCATGGTCATTCTCCCTCCCTCCATCCTCCTCCCCCCCTCCCGCCCTCCCACCTTCCCTCCCTCCCTCCCTCTCTTCCGTCACCCCCTTCCCCCCTCCTCATGCGTATCCCCCTTGTCCGCCCGGTCATCTCATACTACAGCTGGCGGAGCAGCGTCCGGTGATTCTCTTCCTGCCCCACGCGCACCTGCTCTCACACTCCCACTCCGATTTCCTCCTCGCCCTCTCCATCGCCTCCAAAGGTGCTACCACCTCCTACCTCCTCTCCTCCATGTCCCCGTTGCCACTTTCCCCATATTGCCGTCCTTTCACTCCTGAGTGCTAACCTGTCTCTCTTTCCTGTACTATACTGTGCTTGCGCTGGCTGGCCGTTTGCATGTTGAAGCTGTGAGTGTGCCTTGATCCATCAGTCCTCCCTGCCTGTGTTCCCCTGCGTGCCCTCCCCTCATCCATCACATCTCTATCCCCCACTTATCCGCCTTCTTCCCCCCCCACCCTCCCCCTTCCCCTCACTGCCTACCCGAACACCTCTCCCACCCCTCGGTTGGCTCTCCTCAGAGCTAGCCAGCAGCTCGGGCTCTTCAAGTCAGGTGCCGCACTCCTCCCCGTGGCCCGTCATCCTCCTCGCCACTGCTCCCATGCCACTGCCTGGCCCTGGCGTTTCACTCGCCCACAACCACCACAATCAACAGTACCACCAACACCACCAACACCACAATCACCAGCTGCAGCAGCAGCAGCAGCAGCAGCAGCGCGGGTCAGAGGGCAGGCAGGTGTCCCTCTGGGCGTCCCTGGCGTCGCTGCTGCCGCATGTGCCTCTGCTGGCACACCACGCCTTCAAGGGGGCCTCTTCGAGCCAATCTCCTCACGACTCAGGCCAGTCCGCTGCATCTCTGCCCATTGCACGCACCACTGTGTAGAGCTGACCTGCTTCCTTCCACAGTTACCATTATTTCCATGCTGCTAAACTTTCTCATCTCCACTCCACGCCACTCGCATTGGTCCTTTCACCTCTGAGACAAAACCAGCTTCTGGCCTCGCGTCTGCTTCTGCCCTCTGCTTATTCTCTCCCATCCTTGGCACATCCTGTGCTTTCCCCTTCTGTGTGCGTGGCCTGACTGCAGGTGTCCTCGCGCCCTCCCTCACGCACCTCCTCTCCGCCCTCCTCCGTGTGTGCATCCGCCTCTTCTTCCTCCCCCTCATCGCTCTCATTCGCCTTGCCAAGTCCGCCAAGCTCCTCCCACCTGCTCCTCCTCAGCCCGCTGCTCTCTTCCCGCCAGCCAACGTGGTGAGTGGTAACGTGCCAGACCGCATCACTGTGCATTTGCTGCTGCGTCTTCTGGTGTGTGCTGCTCGCTTCCCTGCTGCATCCTTCTTCTGCTCTCTTATTGCCGTGCTTACAGTGTGACTGTCTCTTGGTTCCAACTGCAGTTCTTCCTACTGTGTTTTCCTGCCTCTCCTTTGATTGTATTCTCACAGCTACCTGTTCAGGTGCCCCTGCTGTTCGACCCGTTGGGTCAGGAAGGGGCGCAGTTAGCAGAGAGGGAGGAGAACGAGGAGGGTAGGGAAGCTGAAGGGAAGAAGGGAAGGAAAGCCGCTCAGAATCTAGAGAAGGTTGAGAAAGTGGGGAGAGAAAGAGAGAATCAGAGGAGGGAAGTCGAGGGAGCGAGGGAGGGATGTATGGGTGCGTCAAACGAAGTGGCATTGCGCATGGCGTGGGAAGGGCAGGTGGCAGAGCTGAAAGAGCGGCTGCAGGACGCACAGGCGCAGCTGCTGGCAGCGGAAGGGCAGGTGCAGCTGGAACAGACGTGGCGGGAAGTTTTGCTGCGGCAGGGGGAGATGTGGGAGAGGAAGGCGGAGGGGGAGGCGCGGAGGAGAGAGGAGGCTGAGGGCCGGGAGAGGGAGGTGAGGAGGGCGATGGAAGGGGAGAGGGAGAAGCGGGCGGAAGCTGAGAGGAAGGTGGGTTGTTTGAGTGAGGAAGTGGAGAGGATGAAGGGGAGTGTGGAGAGGGCGGAAGGGCAGGTTAAGAGGGTGGTGAAGGAGGGGAGGGAGAAGGAGAGGGAGGTGAGGGAGGTTAGGGAGGAGGTGCAGAGGCTACAGGAGGAGTTGGTGGTGAGGGAGAGGGAGAGAGAGGAGGAGGTGCGAGAGGCAGCGGTGAGAGTGGGTGAGCTGGAGAGAAGGGTTAGGGATGCAGAGAGAGAAGCGGAGGAGTTGAGAGGTTTGGTGCGAGAGGAGGAGCGGAGGAGGGAGGAGGTGGTCCGGGAGAGAGCGGTTTTGAGTGAGAGGTTGAGAGACGCGGAAGAGAAGGCGAGGGAAGTGGACGGGCTGAAAGCGCGGGTGAGAGAAGCGGAGGCGAAGGAGGAGAGAGTGGAGGCATTGAGGGAGAGGCTAAGGGGAGTTGAGGCGATGGTGGGGGAGATGGAGGGTGTTGTGAGGGAGAGTGAGGAGAGAGTGAGAGAGGCCGAGAGGGTCAGTGGGGAGAGGAGAAAGGAGGTTAAGGGGTTAGAGGAGAGGCTTGCTGCTGCTGTGGCGAGAGTGGGGCAATTGGAAGAGGAGGTAAAGGAGGGTGGGGAGAGAGTGAGAGAGAGCAAGGAGAGAGTGAGAGAGAGCGAGGAGAGAGTGAGGGAGGCAGAGAGAGTCAGTGGGGAGATGGAAAGGGAGGTTGATGCTTTGAAGGAGAGGCTCAATGCTGCTGTGGCGAGAGTGGGGGAGCTGGAAGACGAGAATAGGGAGAGTGAGGAGAGAGTGAGAGAGGCCGAGAGGGTCAGTGGGGAGAGGGGAAAGGAAGTTGAGGTGTTAGAAAAGAGGCTTGCTGCTGCTGTGGCGAGAGTGGGGGAAGTGGAAGAGGAGATAAAGGAGAGTGGGGAGAGAGTGAGAGAGAGCGAAGAGAGAGTGAGGGAGGCAGAGAGAGTCAGTGGGGAGAAGGGGAGGCAGGTGCAAGCGTTAGAGGAGAGGCTTGTTGCTGCGGTTGCGAGGGTGCGGGAGCTGGAAGAGGAGGTTAGGGAGAGTAAGAAGAGAGTGAGAGAGAGCGAAGAGAGCGTGAAGGAGGCCGAGAGGGTCCATGGGGATAAGGGAAGTGAGGTGCAAGCGTTAGAGGAGCGAGTTGCTGCTGCTGTGGCAAGAGTGGGGGAGCTGGAAGGGGAGGTTAGGAAGAGTGAGGAGAGAGTTAGAGAGAGGGAGGGGCGGGTGAAGGTGCTTGAGGCGATGGTGGGGGAGTGTGAGGGGCGAGTGAGAGAGAGCGAGGAGAGGGCAAGACATGCTGAGGGGGAGTTGGAAGCGGTGAAAAGGGAGCTGGCAGTGGTGGAGAGGAGTAGGAAGGAGTTGGAGGTGCAGGTGAGGGAGTTGGAAGGTATGAGGGAGGAAGCAGGTGTGCGAGCGATGGAGTGGAGAAAGAAAGAGGAGAGGTGGCATGGGGAAGAGAGGAAGTGGAAGGGGAAGGTGGATGAGTGGAGAGCACTTGAGGACGTGTGGAGGAAGAAAGAGGAAGAGCTGAGGTTAATGGTGGAAGAAGAGAGGGCAGTGGTTGATAGACTGAGGAGGAGAGAGCAAGAGGTGGAACTGGAGAGGGTGAGATGGGAGGAGCGGCAGAGGGAGAGGAGAGAGGCAGAGGCTCGGTGGCAGGCTGAAGTTGGGAGGCGGGAGGAGGTGGAGAGGCAGGTGGCTGGGCTGACAGCACGCGTGCAGGAGGAATCAGAGAGAGTGCGCACTGCACTGGTGGAAGGGGAGGGTGGGAGGAGGAGAGTGGGAGAGGCGGAAGAAGAGGTGAAGGAGGCAGAGAGGAGGGTTGCAGAGGCGGTTGAACGGGCTGAGAGGATGGAGAGGCGGGTGCAGGATGTGGAGGAGAGGCGGGAAGCGGTGGAGGGGGGGTTGGAGGGGTTGAGAGGGATGGTGAGATGGGTGATGGAGAGTGTGGGGGTTGCGGTAGGAGAGGGGGAGTTAGAGGGTGGGTGCAAGGAGGGGTTGGAGAAAATTGCTTGGCAGTGGAAGGACGAGGTGAGGGCGCGGAGGGAGGAGGTGGTGGATTTGAAGAGAGTACATGAGGAGGAGAAAGCACAGTGGGCAGAGGAGGTGGGGCGGTGCAAGCGTGCTTGGGAGGAGGAGAAGGGGCGGTTGCAGGGGGAGGGAGAGAAGAGGGTTCAGGCGTGGAGGGAGGAGGAGGTGGAGTGGAAGCGAGAGGTGAGTGAGCTAAAGGCAAAGGTGGCTGAGATGGAGGAGATGGTGGGGGCAATGAGGAGGGATGTGGAGGAGGCTAGGAGGGTGGCTGAAGGGGAGAAGGGCAGGCGAGAGGCCGTGGAGGCACAGGCGAGGGTTCTTCTGGAGAAGGTAGAACTGATGAGGCAGAAACGGGTGGCAGGGAAGAAACGGCAGGATGCGGGGAAGGCTGTATCTGGGGTGGTGGGAGTAGCGGGAGAAGCCAGTGGGGTGGTTGCAGGTTCAGCTGGGAAAGGCGAGGGGCAGGTGGTGGAGGGTGCAGAGAGAAGAGGAGGAGGGGAGGGGGGTGGAGCGGGAGGAGGGAAGAGGCGGTGGAGGGAGGAGGTGGCAGTGCTGTTGGGTCGAATGGAGCAGTTGGGGCGGGAGAGGGAGGAGGCGGAGAGGGCGTGGGTGGGGCGAATGGCAGCTGTGGAGATGCGCAATGTGGTGATGGGGGTGGAGCTGGCTGCCGTGGAAAGAGAGAGAGATGCGCTGCTCAACACCCTCAAGGCATCCACTGCTTCCGCTGCTTCCTCCGGTGGGGTCGCTCGTGGTGCTTCTGCTGGTGGGGTTGCACTCTCTCGTGGTGCTGTTTCGCGTGGTGCTGGTGCTTCTCCTGGGCTCGTGCGCGCTGTGCCTTCCTCCTCGCCCTCTTCGCCCTCCGTGTCCCCTTCACCCCTCCACGCTTCTGCGTTCTCGCGTGTGCTGCCAACCCGGCTCTTTGCTAATGGTGGCTCGATTGGGTCCCCTGATGCTGCTGGTTCACCGCCTGCTGCTGTTGCTCTTGCTGCTGCTGCTACTGCTAGTGGAGGCACTGGTGAGGGGCCTGTTGCGAGTGGTGAGGGGAAGACTGGTGTGCGTGCAGGGAGCCGCAGCATGAGCAGTGGGTCAGGGAGAGGGAAGACAGGAGGTCATGCATCGGCATCACCCCTAGCAGCAGCATCACCCTTAGCAGCATCATCGCCCCTAGCAGCAGCAACACGTGCAGCAGAGGAGTTGGAGGAGGGGGGGGGGCTTGGACTGGGGTGGAGCAGCCTGGCGACAGTGTGGCCTCTGTCGTGATTGCGGCGTGATCAAATGCCCTCTCAGTGCTGCGAGGGATCTGTTCTGCAGGATGTAGGAGGTGGTGCCATGGAGATGAGGTCTTGATTGCCCGCCAGTGTGCCCATGCAGATCAAGTCTGTCGTTCGTGTGGCTCTCCATGGCCCTCGCCTGACTGTTACGGTACTAGACAAGAATAGTGCCGCATGTGCAATACTGGTACCGGTACCTGCTGCTGCTGCTGCGGATTGCAGTAACCACCTCCACCTGCCCGATCACAGCTAACCATCAAGCTACCGTACCACTGTGGTGTTTGTTATGCCATCAGCTTTGTCACTGCTGCCTGCAGCATCGTTGATAAGTCGCAAATTGGGAGAAATTTTGTATTTAGCTGACAACTTGCACCCTTCAACAGTCTTTTCCAGCAAGGCCACAACGGCCTACCGTAGCTGCTGGAAACTCCCTTTCCCCTTGCCCACTTTCACTTTCCTGGCCAGCAGCACACCTGTGGTAGCACTGATATTCAGCACATGCATTGCACCTGCACCAATATTGTATGTTGCTTCTTGCTGAGCTGCTAACCTCTCAACTTCAAGGTCATTATACGGTAATGTAAACAGGTGTACAGAATTGCATATAAGGCTGGTATCTGATGCAGTACCAAAATGTTTATCTATAAAAACACTGCAGTAGGTAGTCACAAACAGGCTATACACCGCTCAATCAACCAGAATTTACAGCAGAATCTAGTGGGCCTGCTGCTGGGCAATCAAATGAAGCCATGCGTCAGACCGGGGGAATCCAGAGAGTCGTTTCTGTAGCTGCCAAGTCAACCAGCCAGCCACGTGCCAAACCAGGCAGGTGAGAAGTCAAATGATATGCGGCACACACAAGCAGCCACACTCACAGAAAATGGCATGTGCTGAAAGCAGGCCTGAGAGCGTCGCACAAACAGCGGAATTCATCCACTTGAGTGGCTCGGTTTGTGGAAGAGTGGAGGGGAGTGTGAGAGATGAGGGAAATGACAGGGTGGTGGTAGAGGAGGGGAGGGAGTTGAAGGGTGGATGTGGGAGAGGGGGGGGGGGGGGGGGGGGGGGGGGGGGAACGAGAAATCAGCAAGGGGAAAGTTGAGGTATTCGAGAGAGAGGGGGGGAACAGAATGAGACAAGGGGAGGTGAGGGTGGGCGTGAAGGAAGAGAACAAGAGAGGCAGCAGTGATATAAAGGGGAAGCTAGAGCGGGGAAAATGAGGGGAGAGCAGCGGAAATGAAGGGAGAGCGGGGAAAACGAGGGGAGAGTGGGGAATATGAGCGAGTAGGTGAGCTGAGAGATGCGTGACGTTTCGAGGCCAGAACACAGGGGAAAAAAGGGAGAGAAGCGGAAGCACGGGATGAAAGGAAAGGAGGGGGGAGGGAGAGGAAAAGACGTTTCTAGGCTAGGCCACAGGGAAACAAGGGAGAGAAGGGGAAGCGGGGGACGGGGAGAAAAGAGGTGGGAAAGGGGAGGGGAGAGAGGGGGTCGGGGGGGCGAGGAAACGTTTCTTGGCTAGGTCATGGGAGGGAAAGGGAGAGAAAAGCGGGGAAATGGGAAGGGGGAGGGGAGATCAAAGGGTGGCCGCTTCGCCTTTTACCTTCCGCCAATCCTCTCCGTCCTCAATTATATCCATTCACCCGTGCATTCCTCCTTCTCTCCCCTTCGCCCACCTCCTGGCCTCCCTTTTTTCCGTCTTGCGTCCAGGGTACCATCGACGCGCACTAGAACCCAGGAAGATGAAGGGGAGAGCGGAAACGGGAGGGGGAAGCGGAAAACAAGGAAAAGTGGCAGCTTCGCCGTTTCGCCAGTCCATACCATCCATTTCCCCATCTTCTCCCCTCCACTCACCTCCCGCCCTCTTTTTTCCCGTCTAGCGACCAGGATACCGTCGACGCTCCAAGGTCGACGAAACGCGCTGTATAATCGACGAAACGCGCTAGCTTACCGATGCGTCCGAAATCGACGCTATTAAATCGTCCAGTTACGATTCCGTCCGCATCATGTAAATAGAAGCCAGATCTGGATCGCGCAACTTCTTACCGATACTGCGACATCTTATCATATCTGATGCAGCTAGCATGCAAACAGACGCCCGAAGCGACTTACAGTAAGTACGACCGAGAGAGTGAGCAACACTTGCTACATCGTTTAAAAATAATTGCTGCCATGAAAAGACGTATTCAGATCGAGTACCGCGCTGAGATCTGACCTAACATGAATCATCCATGGACACTAACAAGGAGAGCGGCGAAACTACTACTGATAGCAGATTAGGTCGAGAAGTCACACCCTCGCTATTTCTTTCTGGACAATGACGGGTGAGGGATTAGGCGTGGCAGGTTCGGAAAGTCGAGGTTCGGGTTGTTGATAAGACCGGGGTGGTTGTGCCAGGGTGTCAAAACTACCCTTCATTCCCATTGGTTCACGTAAATCTTTTCTCATCCACCCATTGTTTTTCCTGCTGCCCAGCCAGCCGAACCCTCCAGCACCACGCACGAATTCCAAGACCAAATCGAAGCCGTCCCGCACCACACGCGGAACTAAAAAAGCTCACCTACGGTGTACGATTTCCCAAAAAAAAAACTAATGACCCAGCTAAAGGTAGCGCCGCGTCAACCACCTCCTAGAAAGTTAGGGCGCATTTCAGGCCTCGTAACAAGTGACTTCCGAACAAGTTGGTCGTCGCACACACCCAAACTTGTTAAGAAGTCGCTTTTGCACCTCCGAACAAACAAGTCTGTCCACTGACGACATGAGTCGCACATGCATGTTGGTGGGTCGCAGCCAATAGGGTGGCGTCAAATTTCACTCGATGCTACGACCTGCCACTTCCAGAATTTGACGGCCGAACCAACCGTACTCCGTTGGCGCTGCCCTCAAATTTTCATTATTGGTGCCCACATAGAGATCCCAAACCTTCCTAGATTGCATTGAAATGTGCCCACTTGACTCTACCCTGAAATTCTCCAAGGCAGCACTGATTTTTGAGAATGACGGGAGGTGGTCGTCAGGTGGCACGTAGACGGCGCGCGACCATTGACACTTGATTGCAAACGGTTGAAATGCCTCCAGTGGTTAGAACAAATTTGTTACGAGGTTCAGGTCGCAGAGATTCGGCCAACGTCGCGTAAAATCGGAAGGCAGTCGCTTGTTACGAAGACGCTTGTTCGTAACCACCTGAAATGCGCCCTTAGAGCCTGCCCTTCACCACCAACACGTTCAACAACACCTCGCCCTCCACAAATACGCGCCATTGGCAAATTCGTTTGCATATAGACAATCAAAACCAATATGCAAATATCAACCCTACTATGTACTGTACAATGTACACAACATGGGTTGGGCTGGGAGGCACTTTGGATCCCTACCGCCGCGTGTGTCAGACACAGCACAGAATCTTAGTTTCCCTCCCAGCTCATCGCCCTGCATCCGCCTCCTTAGCACTAAAGCGGCTCAAATTGATAGCACGCTTCGGGAAACGAACCGCGCCGTTGGATTAGCGGCTGTTTTTGGCCACGTCACGAGATTTTTCGCAATTCGTGTTTCTACCCGTGTTTCTTTCTGTCCAATCAATTAGCCTACCTGTCCTCAACTGAAGCCACAGCTCCCATTGCATGTGGTCCACTCCACACTAAGCGGTCCAATCAGAAGCCATTGTTCGAGTTGTCGGCGGAGTGTTCCGATCCACCGCATTCCAGCGTGGCTTATTTGGGACCACCTCGGGGACAGCAAGGAATATTCTCAACCATTGACTGGTTTCATCACATTAGGCGCCGCGACGTCGGGATCCCAACGGACCGGATTCAGGCAGGTGCACGGTTTCCTGCAGATCCATTCATGATCATCCGCTGTTCTCCTCGAAAATTAGTTCGTTTCGTCAGCCTCCTTGACATTATTGTCAACCCAGCTTAGCTTCCGTTCACTCTATTGGGTTCAAAGCATCGTCGTCGTCTCACGTCGCCACCAGTCAGCCTGGCATATATCGCTTGATCGAATCGCCGAGCGTCATGACGTTTCGCATCTTCGTTAAACGACTTCACCTGGTTTTGTTTTCAACGTCAGGTACACAAACAGCCGTTTTTCGATTTCGTTTTGTGCTCCTTTTTCTTGCTTTCTTTTCTTCAACCCGTTTACTAACTTCTGCTCGTTTTTATCGTTGCAGTTTGCATGGAGGCTCCTGCTCTTACTTCAGAAGGCAGGGACAACCTTTGGTAGCCTCCCAACCAATCTTCATGGCGGGCAACTAAGGAGTTGCTCCTCGACTTATCTTAACGGTGAAGGTTGAATGTATCAACCCCACCACAGAGCCATCCCCCCTGGTACAGGTCTGGTACAGGTTTGGTACAGGTGCGGTAAAGGTCTCCTGGTATTTTTTTTGGTTGGTAATCGGCTCTGTGGTGCTGTGGTAAGCAGCAGCATGTGTTTTTTTTTTGCTTTTGCATAGTTTTTGCATTTTTTTAATATTCTATTTACTAACTCATCCGTTTTTATACTTGCAGGTTGTATATGGAGGCTTCTGGACGCCACTTCAGAAGGCATTGAGGGACGAACGGCCTTCATTACATCAACCTTTCAAGCTTCACGGCGGCAAAGGAGCAGCTCCCCAACTTACCTTCACGGTGAAGGTTGAACGTATCAACCCCACCACAGAGCCATCCCCCCTGGTACAGGTCTGGTACAGGTTTGGTATAGGTGCGGTAAAGGTCTCCTGGTATTTTTTTGGTTGGTAATCGGCTCTGTGGTGTGCTGTGGTAAGCAGCAGCATGTGTTTTTTTTTTCACTTTTGCATAGTTTTTGCATTTTGTTATATACTATTTACTAACTCATCCGTTTTTATACTTGCAGGTTGTATATGGAAGCTCCTGGGCGCCACTTCAGAAGGCATTGGAGGACCAACGGCCTTCATTTCTCAACCCTCCGAGCTTCACGGCAGCAAAGGAGCAGCTCCCCAACTTATTGCCCGGGTGAAGGTTGAACGTATCGTCGCCACAGAGCCACTCCCCCCGGTATAGGTTCGGTATAGGTTTGGTACAGGTGCGGTACAGGTATCTTTGTTTGGTAATCGGCTCTGTGGTGGTCTGGTAAGTATACTTTGAGTTCCGCTTTTTGCATCCTTTGTTAAATCAGTTTACTAACGTTCGCTTGTTTATACTTGCAGGCTCTATTCAAGACGCTTGTGCCACACTGCTAAGCGCGGGGTGAACGTACCTGCCGACACCACTGGCAGGCGCTTCCTCTCTCTCCACCAGCAGTAAGTCCCCTCATTTATTGCTTTCTGTTGCTTAGTGATTCTGAAGTTGCTTGATTTACTAACTTGGTTATATTTCTACTTCATGTGGCAGGTTGCTCAACCAAGGGACCTTCAGCATGTCCAACATCCATGGGAGGTGCCTCAAGTCTCAACCTTTGCGAGATAAGTTGCCTGCCCCTTGTCTTGGCTTAGTTTGCTGCACAATCCCCTTCAACTGCTTCCACGCTTGCTGATTCCTTCGCTTTATTTAGATTGTGGCTATAAGTTGATTCCGTCCACTGACTTGGTTCGTTTACCTCCTGGCAGGTTCTCTCCAAGGGCTCTCTTCAATGCATCTCTTCAAGACCATGAAGCCTCAAGTCCCTGCGCACTGCTCAACACCTCCCCAACGTCAGATAAGTCTCAGCCCTTAGTCGATTTTGCTAAGTAATTTTTATGAATTTGTGTTCGTTTTGCTTTGGCATGCGGCCTCCTTGCTGTTTTTTAAGAGCCTGGACTAATTTTTTTTCTTTCTTACAATGCAGGTTCCTTTACGGGCAGCAACTATGGCTGTTGAAGGTTGAAGGCAGTCCAAGGGTTCTCTTCAATGCATCTCTTCACGACCATGAAGCCTCAAGTCCCTTCGCACTGCTCAACACCTTCAACTCCCCAACTGCAGATAAGTCTCAGTCCTTTGCGCCTAGTCGGTTTTGCTGAACCTTTTGTACGAATTTGTGTTCGTCATTTTGCTTTGTCGCATGCTGCCTCCTTGTTTTTTAAGAGCTTGGACTAATTTATTTCTTTCTTACCATGCAGGTTCCTTTATTGCTGTTGAAGGTTGAAGGCAGTGCATGAGAGATGGTGAACCCTTGAGCATTGGCTGAGCAGTCGACTCCGGGCCAAACCGGACTGGTTCTGTCCCCCTCCGCCCCCGCCAAGTGCCAACACTGTCTGGCCAGCAGTGCTGTCATTTGGTGGAGGTGGGGGTGAGCAGAGCCAGTCCCTAGTAGGGCACCCGCACGTCTTGGGCGAAGCAATGCTCAAGGCTCAGCCTTACCTCTGCCTGTTGCGCTGCCAGTCCATGCTGGGGTGGGCATGGATGGCATGCTGCCTCTTGAAAGGATAGCAGTAGTGCCTTTAGCTAGGATGCAACACCTTGTTATGTCCTGATATAGTGAATATATGGACCATATTTACTGGTAGTGCACCTTGAGGATCATGACAAGCTGTTTGTACACTGTTTGGTTTACTGAAGAGAATGCAGGTGTGCTGGTATGGAAGTATAGTTGAGAGTATACAATGAATTGAAACACATAAACATGACTCAGGATAATCAGAACTGGTTTACAAAAGGATAAACAGTTTGCATCAAACGTAAGAAAATGACACATTGGTGATTAGCATTGACGAACGGGTGCCAATCGAAGCATCTTTCCGAATTCTCGCCATGGCTGAAAAAGCGCCACACATCCCGGCAGAGAGCGCAGCGGCGGAGAGCAGCGGACACAAGCGGAAGGCGTCCCTTCCGTCCGCACATCTGCGAAGCCAGTTGTAAACCAGCGAGAATGACCCGCCCTCAGCGTTCCTAGCGACATTAATCTGGAAGAAACCCGAGCGTGCATGTGAGCCAGAGAGGAGGCAAGGCAGTAAGGATCGCTCTTCGCGCTGTCGCGAGCAATTGCACGAAACACAATAGAGGGTCGACCCGATACTAGCCATTGGTGTAGGGGAGTGCTGCCGAATGCGCTAACTAGTGCGTTTCGTCATTCGCTGCCTCCGATGCTACCGTGTAATGCGCTTCTGCTACTGCTTCTCACAGCCGTCGCGGGGTCGTGGACGGTTTCGCCGCGATCGCACACGGGCTTCGCTGGCGTCGCCATCGTCGTCGCAGAGGGGCGGCCTTTCCGCCCTTCCGCGGAACGATCCTCGTGTGGCAACCAATGGCGATTCGGATTCCTTTGTCCCTCCCCTTCTGGGATCGATGTGTCTGGCTCTCACTCACCTCCTCACGCGCATTCTGGAATATTCTTCTGCGGATGCGCGCCGACTCTCACTCACCTCCTCGCGCGCTATCCAGCTCACTCGTCCCTCCCCACCCCCTTCTCCCTCCGCTAGAACACGCGCGCCTGCACCTGATTCCCCCATTCACTCCCGTTCCCCCCTTCTCCCCCTCTTGCCCCCTCCCCCTGCTCCTTCCTCCGCGTCCTCCCCCCAGCCGCGGCGCCATCCGCGCAATAGCGCTGAGAAAAGCGCGCCTTCACCTAGCCACCCCTGTTCCCCCGTATTCTCCCTCCCTCCGCCCCCCCCGCTCGTTTCCCCCCATCCTCCGCCAGCTGCGGCGCCATCCGCGCGGTACCTGGCCGTGGGGAATCTCTGGGAGCAGCTGAGCAAGGCGCGCCTCCACCTGGCGCGCCACTGGGGGCGCAAGCGGAGGAGCGCGCGCGGAGGAGGCGGAGGGGGACGCGGGGAAACGGGCAGGAGGGGGAGAAGGGGGAGGAGGCGGAGGAGGGGTACGAGGGGAAGAAGGAGAAGGGAGAGGAGGTGGAGGAGGCGAGGGGAGGGGGTGGAGGAGCGGCACAGTTCTGCTGGATGACCTGAGAGGGCAGCCATGCAACCTGGTGCGCTGCCCCTGTGAGACACTGTGGCGGTGGGGGTGGGTGCGCCACTGTGAGTTGCCCTTGCCCTGGTGGTGTTGGTGGTGGGTGGGTGGTGGGTGGTGGGTGGTGGGTGGTGGAGGGGTGAGGGGCTGTGGTGGGGTTGGAAGGGAAGGGTGGATGCGGAGCAGAGATGGGTTAGAGCGGGTGTAAGGACGGTGCAAAGAGGGGCGTGCGCTGGTTATCGTTGCTTCACCACCCCATGCTCTTCCTTCTCCACTCCTTCCCATTATACCGCATGCCAACATATTTCCCTCCCAACGTCCCCAAACCTCTCTCACCTTCCTGCCCCTCACTCACACTTCTCCTACCCCTTCCGCAATTCCTTTCTTCCCAAATCCCCCGCCTCCCCCGGCCCCTCCCGCAACCACCAGACTGCCTCGGTACTGAAAACGAGGCTTCCCTTCCCCGCCTCCCTCCACGTCCCTCCTCCTGAAACTCGTCTCCTTCTGAAACACGCGCCTGCGCGAGGAGATAGACCGAAGACCTGCAGGGTGTGTAGAGTGCATACCGCAGAGGTGCCCGAGGAGCTGGCTGTGCTCTTCAACTTCACCCACACCGTGTGCCTTGGTACACTGCAACCGCTGGTGGGTGTGCGGGTTGTGTGAGTATGAGGAAGAGGGAAGCGGTATCGTGTGTGCTCTCCTGCGCTTGCCCGAGGAGCTGACAGTGCTCATGAAGTTTACCCACACTGTGTTCTTAGGGAGCGTGCAACCGCTGGTGGGTGTGCGTGTGGGTGACTGGGTGCGTGCGTGCGTGAGTGGAGATTGTGTGTGTGTTGAGCTGGAGTGTTGTGTGTTGCAGGAGCTGGCAGCGCTTATGAAGAACCTGACCACAACCACCAGACCGCTTTGGTGATGGGGAACCTGATGGGGAACCTGATGAGGGACCTGATGGGTGGGGGCTCATGGGTACCATACATGGCTCATGGGTACCCATGCATGGCTCATGGGTACCCATACATGGCTCATGGGTACCCATACATGGCTCATGGGTACCCATGCATGGCTCATGGGTACCCATGCATGGCTCATGGGTACCCATGCATGGCTCATGGGTACCCATACATGGCTCATGGGTACCATACATGGCTCATGGGTACCCATGCATGGTTCATGGGTACCCATACATGGCTCATGGGAGTGTGAACTGAGGCCTGTTCACAGCGGTTGCGAAGTGGGGGATGTTGTCAGGGCCTGTGAACGGGGTCTGTTGTATGTGATAGATGGTGTTGGGGGAGAAGGTGGGCAAAGGAACGAGGGGGGGAGAGCAAATGGAATGAAGATATGGCTTGGAATGGTGGCTTGAGTACCTCCTGTGCCTTGGTCTCTCCTCTCTTGTTGGTCCCCAATGACCCCATGCCTTGCCCCTCGTCCCACTCTTGTCAGGCAGGCTTGCATGCCAGCTGGGAACCTGGCAAACAGCAGGAAAGCGGGCAGCAGCAGTGGCAGCGGCAGCGGCAGCGGCAGCGGCATCAGGAGGGCGGAGATGGAGGAGCAGGTGGAGGTGATGTGCGATCAGCTGTGGCTGGCTCGTTGCTTGCACTGCTGTGAAGCGCCAAACCTCTCCTTCTTTGTCCGCCTGCCCTGCACCTCAACCCATCTTCCCCAGGCAGGCTTGCATCGTAGCAGGAAAGCCAGCAGCGGTAGCAGCAGCAGGGGGGCAGCGATGGAGGAGCAGGTATCGCTGATGTGCGAGCAGCTGCAGCTGGCCCGCCGCTTGCACCACCCCATCGCCCTGCACTGCGTTCAGGCGTATGGACACATGCTCACAGCCCTGCAGCAGGTACATGTTCGGCACGCAAGAGGTACGGCAGTGCAGTGCAGGCAGCCATGCCCTGCAGCAGGTAAGGCCTGTAACTGCATGCTTCATCCACTGTGGATGGATGGGCATGGCGTGCATTTGGGCAGGATAGACAATGATCGGCATGCTATTTAGACCCCCATTCACCTCTTTCGCTCTCCTGACCCCACTTTACCTCACCTCCTCCTCCTCCCTCCCCTTTCCCCTCCCCACAGCACGGCCCATTCCCAGCAGGAGTCATTCTGCACTCCTTCAACGGCCCTCCAGACATGCCTTGAGTAACATCCTTGCTCCCATTCCACCTCTCGTACCCTCTACCTCCCCTCCCCCCTCCCCACAGCAAGGCCCATTCCCAGCAGGAGTTATTCTGCATTCCTTCAACGATCCTCCAGGCATGCATCAGTCACTCCCTTTCTCTCACTCCACCTCTCGTACCCTCTCCCTCCCATCCCCCCTCCCCACAGCACGGCCCATTCACTGCAGGAGTCATTCTGCATTCCTTCAACGGCCCTCCAGACATGATCCCAGCGCTCATTTCTCTCAACGCCTTCTTCTCCTTCTCCCGCCTCTCCGCCTCCTCGCCCCCCCACAAGCTCGCACACCTCCTGCACCAGGTATGCCTCGCACACCTGCTGCACCAGGTATGCTACTCACGAATTCCCACATGCCTGACCCGTCCGATATTCGGTTGCTGTCTCTCGCCTCACCCACTCTCTCCCCTCCGTTCACCCCCCCTCCAGGTGCCTCTAGATCGCCTCCTACTGGAAACAGACTCACCTGACGGCCTCCCCCCTTCCAGGCGCAAGGGGAAGGAGGGCAGCACTGGGAGGGGCGGGGGAGAAGACGGGAAGGCGGGGGAGGGGTGGGGATGAGAGGTGCAGGAGGAGGGAGTCTCATTCTGAGGCGCAGCGACGAGGGGAGAGTGGCGGAGGCGAGAGGGGCGGCTTGGAAGGGGAGAGAGTGGAGGAGAGAGGAGAGGAGAGAGGGAAGGAGAGAGGGATGGAGGGAGGGGGGGAAAGAGATGAGGAAAGGGCAGAGAGAGGGTCGGGAGAGGCAGAGGAAGAAGGCAGGGTAGAGGTGGAGAGCAGTGGCGATGATTTTGCCTTGAACTCACCAGCTACCATTGGCCTGGTGAGATGAGAGGACACTGTTGCTGAGGCACACTCACACACTCCCACATGCCTCACACTCCCTTCCCACGTGACACACAATCCCATCTTACATGACGCAATCGTGCATGTTTAACACTCACGCGTGACACAAGCACCATGAGATATGGCTCTAGTCACCTCTTTTATCCTCCCCATCTAACCTCCCCTACCCACTACCCACCATCTTCTCCCTTCTCACTACCGACTTCTCCATTTTTCCTCACTTTCCCCCGCCTTCCTTCTCCCTTTTCTCTTATTTCTCCTTCCACCATTCTTCCCCCTTGTCTCTCCCCCCCTGCCCCATGCAGGTGTGTGTGATGGTGGCGAGCAGCATGGGCAGATCGAAGGATGAGGTAGCAGAAGCAGTATTCGCCAATGCTGTTCGGCTCTTCTCCTACCCTGGCTCATGTCTTCTTCTTTGAAGACGCCTAAAACTAAGGAGTAGTGGCAGGCTGCAACTCGCAGCATTTCCATTTTGAGGTGTCCCTGCCACAACTTACTTTGGTTAGTGCGTCTGCGCTGCTTGTATACACACTTGTGAATAGGGTTAATAGTTAGCGGATGTGAAAGTTCTGTGGTTAGGGTTCGAGGTTCTTTTGATTTGGGTCAGGTGCCCCTGTGGCTAGAATAATTGGATTAAAGGGCCTGTGGTTGCTGTTCCCTTTTCAAGTGCTGTGATGCACAAACCCTGTAGTTGTTGTGCTTGTTAGTTAGTGCTCTGTACCACAAGCCTTGTCATTGGCCTGCCTGGAGGCACAAGCCCTGTAATTACCGTATTGCACAAGCCCTGTAGTTAGCGTGCTGGGTGCACAAGCCCTGTATTTAGTGTCCCTGAAGTTCGCATGCCTGCCTGAGTGCTCGCTCAAGCCCTGTATTTAGTGTCCCTGTAGAGAAGTTACTGTGCCTGGATGCACAAGGCCTGTATTGACTACCGGTATCCCTGCAGTTAGAGTGCGCGCGAGCACAATCCATGTTTTCAGAGTCCCTGTAGTTAGCGTGCCTGGGTGTGCAAGCCCTGTATTTTGTGCCCTGTAGTTAGCGTTTCTGGGTGCACAAGCCCTGTATCTAGAGTCCCTGTAGTTATGGTAGCGTGCCTTTGTGCACAAGCCCTGTTATTAGAGTCTCTGTAGTTAGCATGCCTGGGTGCGCAAGCCCTGTAGTTAGAGAAACCTGCAGTTAGTGATCCCTGTAGTTAGTGATCCCTGTAGTTAGTGAGCCCTGAAGTTAGTGAATCCTGTAGTGGTAGTGATTCCTGTAGTTACGGTAGCGATCCCTGTAGTTAGCGATCCCTGTAGTTAGTGATCCCTGTAGTTAGTGATCCCTGTAGTTAGTGATCCCTGTAGTTAGTGATCCCTGTAGTTAGTGATCCCTGTAGTTAGTGATCCCTGTAGTTAGTGATCCCTGTAGTTAGTGTGCCCCGAGGCACAGTCCCTATGGTTAGCGTGCCCTACGCGGGGAGTTGCTGAGGTGGGTGGGTCGCAGGGAAGGTGTGTCGCGGGGAGGGGGGGAAGGGGAAGGGGCAACGCAAGGAGTCCTACGCATGGGGAGGGGGATTGGAGGGGGAGGGAGGGGGGATACCACACCTGAGAGTGTTACTAACCTAGATATCCTATATCCTCTTTAAACTAGTTCAGCTATGTGGTCTTCATCCTGGTAGTACTAACCAATTTTTTATAATCTTTTTACTCTTGTCTTGGCCTCCACATGGAAGTGCTTCGGCTGTCCTGCAAGCAGAGGAGAGGAGGCAAGGCACACGAGATTTAAGCTTCACCACATGATAAAAAAGGATTTGTGCGTTGTCCGGCTGGGGTACATGATGTAAATGGTCTCAGTGCCCACACAACGAGCATGATTGCATGTGACACATTGGGTGGAGCAGAGGGTTTGCGCCAGTGAGTGTGATGCAGAAGAGGAGGACATGGCAGGTTGCAGTAACCTACCAGGGAAGGAAAACAACAACATCAAGACCTTGGGACAGGGTCGCGTGAGTGACTCGCTTTGCCTGAAGTCCGTCCCATGCCACTACTGCCATCCTTGCCTGACGGAGGAAACACAGGTATGGAGAAGGATGTGAGAAGGGAGCAGGAGGCATGAGAATAAGGAAGCGAGAGTGGGAGACGCAGAGTGCACAATTGAAAATAAAAGGGGAGGAAAAAGGCAGAGACGAAGAGGGTTGAGTGAGCAGCCCTACTATGAAAGGAGAAGAGGATCATCTTTGCCTTGTCTGACTTGCCCGTGCCTGAAGTCCTCTCATGCCACCACCGCCGTCCTTGCCTGGAGGAGAAAGCACAGGGGCAGAGGAGAATACGAGAGCAGGGCAGGTGGCACTGTGTTACTCCTGACAAGCCGTTTCTCCATCGCATCTGATGGAGGAAACACGAGAGGTAAAGGCATGTGAAAGGAAAGGAGAGAAAGAGGCATATAAAGGGGGCATCGGAGAAAGATGCTATTTAAAGGCTGGAATTGGGACGTTGGGACAGAGGAGAAGAGGGTTGAGTGAGCAGCCTTACAATGAGACGAGGATGTCTGAATTGGCCTTGCCTGAAGTCCGTCCCATGCCACCACTGCCGTCCTTGCCTGCAGGAGGAAACGCAGGGAGTCAGGACAGGAGGATATGAGAGGAGAACAGGTGGCAAGAGTCGAGGACACACAGTGCATTATGAGACGGGGGCCGGGAAGGGATTAGGAGCGTACCATTGGAAGAGAGTTCAGTTAATTCGGCCTTGCTTGTTGCTGCTTGATACTTTGCTGGTGCCGCAACTCCCCTGTTGAGCTTCGCTATAGACAAAATAAGGAAGGAGGAGACAGGGAAGGTATGAGAGAAGAGAAGCAGTGGGAGAGAAGGAAGAAGGGGAAGAGTACGGGAGAGAGGGGCACCATTGTGTGACAGTTCCATGGGAGAGGCGGACAAGAGTGAGTGGGAGGGAGGAATAAAGCATGAAAGGAAGGAGTGACAAGGAAGACCGGCTCGAGGAGCAGTACAGGAAGGATCAACATCTGAGACAGTGGTGGATCAACAAGAGAGGAGGAGTGGCAAGAGAGAAGACGGCAAGTACAGGAGGCAGTGGGCAAGTAGCTCCAGTCAGTGAGATCGACATTTAGAAGAAGGCGGGTACAGGAGTCTAGGGAAGAAGGCAAGTAAAGGAGGCTATGGAAACAGAGCAAAAATGAAAGGAGGACGAAGGGCAAGAGAGATCTTACCAGGTTCACTGAAGCAACCTCTTGTCCTCCTGCGCTTCCTCCTCTCCTTCTCTGCTTCCCGTGCTTCCTCCTCTCCTCTGCATCGACGTCCTCTGCTTCCTCTTTCCTCCTCTGCTTTTGCCAGGTCACTCCTAGAACTACAACCTGCAAACAAGGTGATACAGCCTACAGATCACATCCTACAGGCCACAGCCCACAGCCTTTAGCCTACAGCCTGTACTATACCTAGAGATACAGCCAACTTCATACAGCCTACAAACTGTACTAGACATCTCTGCTCCCTTATCTCTGCCTGCTCCTGTCTACTCCCTGTGCGTCATCCTTGCTTCCGAGCATCTGAGACCGTGGAAGATCCGAGTATAGGAAAGAGAGAAGATCCCTGCAACATATAATGAGATGCAGAAGTGGAAAGAGAGAAGAAGTCGAGTATAGGAGGCTGGGGGATCCGAGCGAAGATGATAGGAGGAGAACAAAGGAATAAAAGGGCAAGGGAGATCTCACCACGTCTGCTGTAGAAACCTTTTGTCCTCCTCCTCTGCTTCCTCTCCTGCTCCTCTGCTTCCTCTCCTGCTCCTCTGCTTCCTCTCCTCCTCTGCTTCCTTTCCTCCTCCTCTGCTTCCTCCTATCCTCCTACTCTTCCTCTTCTCCTCCTTCTCTTCCACTTCTCCTCCTCCAGGTGGATCGTCTTCTCTCCTGTGCTCCGCTGATCTCGATTCTTCAAGCTAAAACATTCCTACAGATACAACCTACAAACAGCCTACAACATACAGCCTGTGCCATACATAGAAATACAACCTATAGCCAACAGCCTACAGCATGCACTATATATCACAGCATGCACTATATATCACAGCATGCACTGGATATCACAGCAAGAGTTAGAGCAGATCAAGTTTATCTTGACAATTCAAATCATTCTGTTCTGCAAAGTTTCATTCATTGCTTGCCGGATCGTTATCCCATTCTGCCCTGTAGTCAGAGTGGGGTTAGCGTACCTGTAGTTAGGCGCTGCCCTGTAGTCAGAGTGGGGTTAGCGTACCTGTAGTTAGGCGCTGCCCTGTAGTCAGAGTGGGGTTAGCGTACCTGTAGTTAGGCGCTGCCCTGTAGTCAGAGTGGGGTTAGCGTACCTGTAGTTAGGCGCTGCCCTGTAGTCAGAGTGGGGTTAGCGTACCTGTAGTTAGGCGCTGCAGCGAGTCCCGCCAGATGAAGCTTCTCACCAGAGCAGCGAGTCCCGCCAGATGAAGCTTCTCACCAGAGCAGCGAGTCATCACCCTCACCAGTGGCACCTCATCATCAGCACCCTCAGGCACCGCAACATCGAACCCCTCCACCCCAATTGAGTTCACGCTGCTGAACAGCGATGGGTAGAGAGAGGGGGGGTGGGCTGGATGGGCCACGGCTGTGTCGAGTTTCACTCCTGAAGTGTTGGCTTTTGAAGTGTTGGCACTTGGAGTGTTGCTCCTGAGTGTTCCACTCCTTTTGTCCTGGAACCAGGGCATGGGCTGGCGAGAGGGAGAAAAGAGGATGCGGGATGCAGGAAACTGGTGGAAATGAAGCAAGGGCAGGCACAACTGGAAGAATTCATAACTGAAACCAAGGTGGAAGGATGCAATGAAAACTGAGAGGCGATGGTAGCCCATGGCACTAGGTTGGCGAGCTAGCAGGCAACGGAAACGAGACGCGGGCGTGAGTGTGAGTGCATTCTAACCCTCTAGGACTCTAGTGTGAGCTCAAGCCGCCCCAGTGCCATGTGCTACCATCGCCACGCGAACGTTTTTAATACCTTCATGCGAAGGTGACGTTTTGGTTCGAAGCATGCTTGAAAAGAGAGGCTGGGCAATCGTGAACACGAATTACAAGGTAAAGCGGCGGTAAGGATGGCAAGGGTTGAGGAGGGAACTTAGCGGGATTCAGAAGCTGCTCGTCGCCATGTTAATGTCAGCAGCAGCCCTCCCAGCAGCAGCACTACCAGAAGCAGCACTCAAGGTGGCTGGGCGCGTGAGGGAGCGGCGTGGTCAGCAGGGCATGCAGGAGGCACGCACGCCGCTGTGACTGCCTGCCGTGCGTCATCCCACCGCCCTCCCTCCCCACACCACGCTGCCACAGCCCTGTGCGAGAGGGGGAAAGCTTAGGAGAGGGAAGGGAGCGAGTGGGAGAGAGGAGAGAAGGCAGAAGGGGGCAGGAATTGAGGAAGTTAGTCTAATATAAGCATGGGTGTGATTGACAAATTGTGATAACAGGAGGGACAGAACGGAGGCATAATACTGTGAGAGTAAAAATCTGGAAGTTACACAGCAGGTGGCACAGTGAAAGGGTAGGCGATGGTAGCTCATGGCACTAGGTTGGCGAGCTAGCAGGCAAGTGGGACGAGACGCGGGCGTGAGTGTGAGTGCATTCTAACCCTCTAGGACTCTAGTGTGAGCTCAAGCCGCCCCAGTGCCATGTGCTACCATCGCCACACGCTGCCCATCCCTCAGTCAACTTTTGATCCCTCCCAAGCAGAAGCAACGTTTTTGTTTCGCGCAAGATTCGATAAGCGAAAGAAGAAAGGAAAACAAGCAGGAAGGAGACAGGGTATGAGAAACACTTAGCCGTGTGACGAGCAGTCGCTTGAGGAGCAGAGGGGTGATGACTCGGCCAGCAGCAGCCCTTCCTGCCAGCAGCAGTCCAGCAGGTCGGCAGCAGTGGTCAGCAGGGCCAGCCCAGGCCGTGCGTCATCCCACCACGCTGCTCCCACTGCTCCTCCCTGCTCCCTGCTGCTGCCGCCTAGTAGTTGCGCTGGTAGAGGGACGCAGGCAGGAAGAGAGGAGAAGACAGAATCAGGTCAACGGAGCAGAGAGATGAGGTGAGAAGACAAGTCACAAGCAGGGGTACGCAAGGGAAAAACGGCAAGCATGCATGCAGTGAATGGTGAGCAGAGCGGAACGACAAGTGAGTGGTCGGGAGGGGTGGGAGGGGAAGGCGCATGGAGACGGTGGACCAAAAGCAGCACGGCGGCGAGCTCAGGCAGCGAGGGGGGACTAGGGAAGAGAGGGACGCGCGCATGGCATGAATGCACTGCTACTCTATGCTACACCCACTCCACGCTCTCTCTCTCTCACGCTCTCTCTGGACTCTACTGGGCTCAACTGCCAATGCGCCTTGACCCACCGCCGCCATGCGCCAAACAGTAGCACGTTTGTTTGGGACGTGCAACACGGGATGCAACAACACAACAGGGTGGTGCAACGACAAGGGCGGGTGGGGGCAAGGGGGGAGTGCAAGGGTTGAGGAGGGAACTTAGCTGCACGTCGCTTTCCGCACGTAGCTTTCCGCACGTCACTTTCCGCGCGTCGCTTTCCGCACGTCGCTTTCTCGATTTCCGCACGTCGATTTCCGCACTCGCTTTCCGCACGTCGCTTTCCGCACGTCGCTTTCCGCTCGTCTCTTTCCGCACGTCCCTTTCCGCACGCCCCTTTCCGCACGTCGATTTCCGCACGTCGCTTTCCGCACGTCGCTTTCCGCACGTCGCTTTCCGCACGTCGCTTTCCGCACGCCGCTTCCCGCACGCCGCTTTCCGCACGCCGCTTTCCGCGCGCCGCTTTCCGCACGCCGCTTTCCGCACGTCGTTTTGTCAGCAGCAACACTCGCAGTCTTGATCCCTTGTTGTCAGAAATCGTCGCTTCGAACGTCACCGTGAGAAACTCGCAGTTTCGATCATCACCATGAAAAGTCGCAGTCTTAAGCGTCACAGCCGAACGCGTCACTTCTGTCGTTACTGCGACAAGTGTATTGATTGTCACCGTCGGAAAGCGTCGCATTCAGTCATCACCGTCAGAAGTCACCGCCTTGATCGTCGTAGTCAGAGAGCGTCGCTTCAGTCGTCACTGCGGGAAGTCGGTCTCTGATCGTCGCCGTTAGAACACACGGTCGTTCGTCACCGTCAGAACACCACCCTCTCTTGTCACCGTCAGACGGCACCGTCACTCGTCACCGTGAGAAGCGGCCGTGTTGTTTGTCACCGTCAGAGAATACCCTCTCAGTCACCACCTTTACAAGACGCCGACTCACTATTCGATGTCAGAAGTCCTAGCCGAATCATTTGGCGTTGCCTTCGCCATCTAAAATAGCTGTCGCGAGCAGTATATCAGCGTCGACCATCGCCGAATCGAACCGTTAACATAGCCGCTTTAACCGTCACCGTCATTCAGCGAACCCCTCTCTCCCTACGACCGTCAGGCATGGTCTAGAGTATTAGAGCAGTGGTGCTATGTAATACTGCAGTCGAGGCACTGATTAAGATAGAGGTAATTGCTAGATGGCAGCATGCCAGCGGATTACGGCCATGCACTATGGGGAGAGTCCCCTCACGGATTCCGAAGTTCTATAAATGGAGCTGCTCCAAATGACTCGAATCTTCGTTCTATAAGCTCTGAATTTTTCCTGCAACTAGTGCATGCATGGAGCTAAAACGATTAATGCGACTTATCGCGTTGAACGGACGTCAGCCATTGATTGTAGCTACTAATGAGCTAAGCCTAGTTGAGACAGTCAAGATGAAAATATATTAAGATTAAGATCAAAAGTTACAGACTCGCCACAGAAAGCCTACTAAGTTGGGGTCTTAGTGAACGAATGGCGGAGCCTACTAACACTGGGAGTCTCAGTGAGCGAAGGAGCGGAGCCTCCTAAGAGTCGGTGAACGAACTGCAGTGAAAATGGTGGTGAGATGGAAATCAGGGAAGCTTGAGAGAGGAAAACATGATCACAGTTGGGTGTTAGCTTAGAAAGAGGTGTTCATCACAGCAATTTGGAGATTACGATTGATTGAGAACGGTGCGATACGATTCACAAGAGCGGGTGGAGGCAATCCTGCAGAACCAGAGAAGAACCCTTTGGCTGGTGGGGTGTGGGCCGCCGAAGCATCGTTGGGCGTTCAGTTTCGTCGTGAACAAATATTTGCCAGCAAATGTGATTATGCGAGGCAATAGGTTCGATTTCGCGAGCAAAGTTACAAATCCGAAGCGCGGAAACCTGACAGTTTTTATTGTTTTGCGCGGGAAGTCCATGCCTCTGACTGGCATTCATACACATGGCCATGCATCCTTCACATACCAGGCCATAGATCACATGGCCATGTGATCAGCGGTTTGGATTTCGGTGACTCCAGATTAAATCGAACGGCTGAGGACCACTCTCAGACCCTTCAGAAGTTCGCACCGAGAAGAGGAGGGATGTGGTGCACTGCACACCTCCCTCCAAAGCCAAATGTGTACTGTTCTGAGTGCACTTTTCAGTTGACTTACCAACTACATTCTTGTAGCGATAGTTCTGATGGTGCTAGGAAACCTGAGAGCAGTTTTGTGTTACCATATCGGAGAGCATTATCGGAGAACAAAGGTGAACAATGGTCGCATGATAGACTGTCAGAGATGATCCTCTTCGAACAGTTCCCGCGCCAAGAATATTCCGCGCTTCGGCCCAAACCTGAATCTTTGCTCGCGAAACTTGTCGTCAAACCTCAGCCGAGGTACGGCGGACCCGACCTGACCACAAGAGGGAGAGTGCTCTTCAGCTCTTGCCATCTGAAATCTACTGTTCACCGCTCTCAATCGTTCTTCATCCCCCAAGTTGCTCCACGGAAAGCCTCGCGCTCCATTCCAAAATCATGCTTTTCACTCAAGCTATGGATTTCATGGCCAACTCCCTGACAATAGGCTTCCTATGGCTCTCAACAGTTTTTGACCAGCCCGTGTGACACCCCGAATTACACAACGAATTACACCCCGAATTACACAACGAAGTCAACGAAAAAATTGTAGGTTCGGAAAACCCCAGAAGGAGGTTCGTGGGAAAATCGAGAACCAATCGCGTCAAAAACACACTCAAAACTTTCGACCAATCACGTGAAAGTGGTGACAGTTTTGGGGCCGACTCGGTAATTCTGGATGTGTCCTTTATCTCAATCTTAGTCTCCTTCCTTGTGATTAGTAGGATTTGATTTCAGTTACTTTTAGGGCGTTGTGACAGCCTTGGCATCGTAATCTTTAGAGATCTTGATCCTCACTGTCTCGTCAAGGCTGACCCCCTTACGACGTCTTCTTCCAGCGCAGACCAGTAACAATGAGTCACAATAATCGTTTTAGCTCTATTCATGCTCTAGACGCACGAGACGTTTAGAGCTTATAGAACGAAGGTTCCAGTCATTCGGAGCAGCTCCATTTATAGACCTTCGGAATCCGTGAGGGGACTCTCCCCATAGTACATGGTCGTCATCCACTGGCATTCTGCTATCTATCAATGACCTCTATCTTAATCGGTATCTCGGCTCCACTATTACATAGCACCACTGCTCTAGTATTGTAGACCATGCCTGATGGTCGTAGGGAGAGAGGGGTTCGCTGAATGACGGGCGGCTGTGGTAACGGTTCGATTTGGCGATGGTCGACGCTGATATACTGCTCGCGACAGCTGTTTTAGATGGCGAAAGCAACGCCAAATGATTCGGCGAGGACTTCTG